GTGGGTGCTTTGATGTGCTACCCCGACGCATCTGTAAGCGTGAGGTTCTTATTCCCTCAACTGCTGGAAGTGTTGATGGGCAACTAGTTGAGTCCCTTCCTGGTAACTACCTTCAAGTGAAGGGGACCTGGTTGCCCAAGATCACCCCTTCTTTTTGGAGACAACCCATATCTATTGATTGTAGATGTAGAGATATAAGGCCTTACCCTCCAGCATGAAGAAATATGGCATACAGAAAGGCCTTTGTTATAACCATAGTGCAGCTTGTCTTTCTGCCCAGGTACTTCCTACAGCTCCCCAGGATACTCTTTGATATCTTCAAGTATTCCAATCTTTGTTTCAGAATCTGTCCAAGGAAACTAAACCTCTAACTTTGATTCCTTGTAGGAAGGGAGGAGTTATTCTGGTCATGGAGGTTGACATAAACCACTAAGTCAAGTACATTGTATTCATGTCATAAGAGAAGTGTCATCAATCTTATGGGAGTGCAGGAAATGACTTATTTTTGCTTATAGCATAACAGAGAATTAGGAATGACATGTGAGCTTCACTTTAAGAATGAATGGGCATTATCCAGGTAAATTAAAAGGTGGGAGGTAGTCTTGGCTTGTCAAAGAATGTCACTTGTTAAGGCTACGGCACAGAGCCCAGTGTCATGGCTAGAATGTATCATCCAGAGGGTAGAGCAGTGGAGATGAATCAGGAGCCAGGTTGCAAAGCGCTCCACTGAGGTGGACCATTCTTAAGCTGGAATGTACTTTTCCTCTTGTCCCTGTCTCCCTGTCTGTCCAGCATGGCAGCCCTAGTCCACGTGCAAGGCGTGACTTCAAGAGACACACTTAGGGAGATCCTTCTTCTTACTTGCATGAAGACTTTCTATTTCCTTCAAAACTGAATTTTCATTAACCATTTATCACTTCAGAAAAGCTTAATGTTTATATTTTTAGGAGTATACCTTTTTGTCTGGCTTAAAAAGAACCATGTGTAAGAAGGTACAAAGATCTCCAACTATGGTGCTTGAAATTCTATCACTGGCAGTTTCTCAAATTATAATTGAGGAGACAGAGTAGAGTAATATAGTCCAGGTTTCTAACAGATGAGCTCCTTTTTCAAACTTCCAATAAAGGATTATCCAGTTGTTTCTATATCTCTAATCATGGGAGCATTGACCTTTCCTTGTGTTATTAATTCTGATATATCACAGAGTGGGATAAAATTACAGAGTTGGAATTAATCTTCATTTTACAGTTGAGAAAACTGAGGTCTAGGAAGAAAAAAATATGCAGTGGACTTATATAGATTTTTAAAAGATTTATTTATATAATTTGAAAGGCAGAATTACAGAGAGAGAGGGAGGAAGGCAGAGAGATAAGGGAGGGGTCATCCATCTACTAGAGTTCACTTCCCAAATGGCCACAATGGCTGGAGCTGGGCCAAGCCAAAGCTAGGAGTCTGGAACTGTGACTCTGTCTCCCACATGAGTGGCAGGGATCCAAGTTCTTGGGCCATCTTCCACTGCTTGGAGCTGGATTGGAAGTGGAGCAGCTGAAACCTGAACCTGTGCTCATATGGGATGCCGATGCTGAAAGTGGTAGATTCACCTGCTACACCCCCCAACACTATCCCTATACATTAGATATTGCCAAAGCCAAAAGGACAATTCATATTCCTCCTCTAGCAACTTCCACTCTGTGCAACGCCATCATGAATTTGGCAGATCCCTCTGTGAATTACTGGGAATCAAGAAATGGGAGTGTTACTCCTACCTGCCCCTCGTGAATTCCAAGTCCAACTTGTCAGTTCAAGTTTGTGCTCACCTGAGAAATGGGACTGTAGTACTAGCTCCTCCCCAACACTGTGAGGTCTTAAGGTGTGTTGTATGTTTCTGTGTCCCCGACAGAGACTAAAAAATATGCCCTCCATCATTTACTAGCCCAAGCTGCTAAGAGACTACAACATTCATTTCCTGATTTGGGGGCATTTTATAACAGCCTCATTCTGGATATATTTTACATCATTTTCCTTTGCAGTACTTTGTTCAGATTACCTGTTCTTTGAACAGAGTTTCCATAGACTATAAACTCTTTTCCTTAGAAACTTGACTAAACCTTATTCATTGCTGCTAGGTTTCAGTAAATGAGCTGAATCTTGCAGCCAAGCCTCAGTGCAAACAAAAACATTTTCTGGTCAAGCATTTTCTGGTTTGTTCAACTCCATTACAGAGCAGTCTTTAAAAAAAAAAAAGTTAAAACCCACAAAGGAGCAAAACACAAGGCCTGGGAAGACAATTTCCAGCCGCATTAGCTCAGTTCGTCCGGGTAGAAAAGCAGTAGGGCTCTTCTGTGCCAGACCGTCTTCGTCATCATCGCCAGACTCTCATCCTATGCGTGTCTGCTATTTTAATTTCACCACTTCAGAATGGAGGAAGAAAATAGGTTAATAGTTTCCATGAGTTTAGACTGTGACCAGAGGCATGCTAAGCAATTTCAGAACCTCAGGCAACCACAGTTTTAGGGGAGGATGATGATGGATTTACCAATTCATCTTGGAATGGATTCCAGAGCCAGGGAGTCAGGCCAGCACTGTGCTGCCAGGGTGGGATGTAAACAGTATTCCTTCATTCATTCTTTTGCACACATTTATCCCTGGCTTATTTTTATTCCATTGCAATATGGGACAGAAAAATACATTCTTCAGCCTCACTTCTTTCCCTTAATGAAGTTACAGTAAAGGAAATAAACATATGCACAGATCATTTCAATGAAGTGTACACTGTGAATGTTGTAAGAGAAGTGTTCAGGAATGGGAAATACTGGGGCCATCGAGGAAGGCTGCACTGCCTCTGACCTGTCCCTTGGAATGGCAAAATGGCAAAATGCATTTCATCTGTGCATTGGCCAAGGCACAGAAGTATGGATGTTTCTCACAGGTTTCAACAAGAGTGAACAGCCTGGGGTGCTAGAAGCTAAGCCTAGAGAGGGAAGTTGAGTTTTATGTAAGGAATTATCTCTTATGAACATCACAGTGCCATGACATTTTTGTTATCAGGAAAGGTATTTTGTCACATCTGTGTTTTTTGGAAAGGAGATACTGGGTCAGTTTGGGAGCAAATAACAGTAGGAGAAATGCAACCAGTGGAGGAAATTCAGACGCCATTGCTTTAAGTCCCATCAGAACACCAGTTAGGTACATACAGGCACATCTTACCTCACAGGCATTCAAAGATTCTCTCTATAAAAATACATCTGCCCCTTAATTTCTACATCTCATCCAGTCCTACATCTTCCTAACTAGATGCCCATCCTAGGTTTTTCCAAACGGAAACCCCATGAGTCAGGCCACAAAGTTTGGTGGTACATTGCTTGGTAAGAGCATGGGATTCACAGGAAGAATGAAATCCTGGGTCCCAAGTCACTTAATGGAAACCTTTTAAAGGGTGGCACTTTCTTAACGCTTAGCATATTTCTAAAGTCAAGGAAATTAGGAGGGCATGTGGTATAGCAGGTAAAATGCCACTTGGGACACCCAGGTCCCATATCAGTGCACCTGGGTTCCATTCATGGCTGTACTCATAATTCTGGCTTCATGCTAATACACACCCTGGAAGGCAGCAGGTAACGGCTCAATTGGTTGGGTATTTGCCAACCACATGGGAGACTTAGATTGAGTTCCTGGCTCCTTGCTTCAAACTGGCCCAGTAGATATCCATATATTATATTGCTCTCTCTAATAAATAGAAAAACAATTATTTAAAAAAATAATGTTAGATAAATTGAATTTTTAAATTACTTTTCAAACCCCTCTATGTTCAAGATTTCTATCAAGAGTTTATGGATCCTGGCCAGCGCTGCGGCTCACTAGGCTAATCCTCCGCCTTGCGGCGCCGGCACACCGGGTTCTAGTCCCTGTCGGGGCGCCGGATTCTGTCCCGGTTGCCCCTCTTCCAGGCCAGCTCTCTGCTGTGGCCAGGGAGTACAGTGGAGGATGGCCCAGATGCTTGGGCCCTGCACCCCATGGGAGACCAGGATAAGTACCTGGCTCCTGCTATTGGATCAGCGCGGTGCACCGGCCGCAGCGCACCGGCTGTGGCGGCCATTGGAGGGTGAACCAACGGCAAAGGAAGACCTTTCTCTCTGTCTCTCTCTCACTGTCCACTCTGCCTGTCAAAATAAAAATAAAAAAAAAGAGTTTATGGATCCTAAATTCAGAGTAGGTATTTAAATCAGGGCTTTAAATGCTCAGAAGCTTCAATGATTATGTCAAATTCTGATTTGTGTTCTATAGCTAGCATGCTCTGTCTTGGTCAGCATCAGCCAGACCGCTCTCTAAAAATTATGGGCCTTGGTGATCCCACTAAGTCTTTAATGATAAATCAAGTTTTAGGAGTAATAATGAAGTGTCCTACCTGGTGTTAAAGTTCAGGGGAATGGGTCAAAACCAGTCTACCAACCATTTTGGTAAATAAAATCTTACTGCAACACAATTGTGTCCATTTGTTTACATGCTATCTATGGCTGCCTTCACCACAAGGGAAAAATAGGTTACAATTAAAACAAATATGCACTATGAAAGATTTTACAGAAATGTGTACCATCACACTGACTGCAGTGGAAATGAACAAGGGTAGGAGTCAGGAAACATATGTCCTCACTCCTGGATTAGCTACCTTCTCCCTGGCTGGCCTTACAAAAGCCACTTGACCCATCTAGTTCCCTTTCCTTTTCTTTTTAATAAAGATTTGAGTTAACTTCAAAAAGTTCATGGAAAGTAGCATTAATAGGTGTTTATTGTAGTGCAAAAGTATTTTGAAATCCATGTATAGTTTTTATCATGGTATACACTTCTCGCTTTTTGAGGTCCCCTCATCTATAATACTCTTCTTCCCCACAGAGTACCATGACATGTTCATGAGTCAATGTGTTTTATGAAAATACTTGTCACACCCACATAGCTTCTTGAGTCCCAGCCTAACATTGATATTTTTTTCTTTCTCTCCATAGAACACCCTGGAGCGATGCAATGTGTGCTCCAAGCCCATCATGGAGCGAATCCTTCGTGCCACAGGGAAGGCCTATCACCCTCACTGCTTCACCTGTGTGATGTGCCACCGCAGCCTGGATGGAATCCCCTTCACTGTGGACGCCGGTGGGCTCATTCATTGCATCGAGGACTTTCACAAGTAGGCAACCTGCTTTGTATCTATTCTCACTGCCTGGCACCTGGGTCCCACATTTCTCTCTCTCTCTCTCTCTCTCTCTCTCTCTGGCACCTGGGCCCCACATTTCTCTCTCTCTCTCTCTCTCTCTCTGGCACCTGGGCCCCACATTTCTCTCTCTCTCTCTCTCTCTCTCTCTCTCTCTCTCTCTCTCACCTGGGCCCCACATTTCTCTCTCTCTCTCTCTCTCTTTCTCTCTCTCTCTCTCTCTCTCTCTCTCTCTCTCACACACACACACACACACACACACACAGATGTAGACTCTCAAGGAATAGCAGGACATTAAGACAAGCTTATTGATTCCCCATCCAATGTAGGAATTCAAATCAGGCTATCCATGTGGTCTTCCAGCCTAGCTTCTGCTCAGGGCTTACCTGAGGCTTGCCCATTGCATCTGTGTGGTTCTAATTGTGTAAACAGAGTGTGCATGTTAGAAAGTGGCAGAATCCTGTGCTAAACATGAACAAGATATGTGACATTAAGCAAATTGCTCAACCTCTCAGAGCTCTTCAACTTTGTCACTAGACCAAGCCCTCCCTGAAAACTCTGTGAACTGTGACAACCCAGGGTTCTATCTAGAGCTCACCTCCACATCGCTGCCACTCTACAGGTAGGAGGTTGTGGAGAATACTCGCAGCACTCTTCCTGGTATAGGCCTCTCTCTTACCTTCAGAGGCAGTGGCATGCCATTGTTGACCTATTCAGGCCTCTCCCCTTACCCAGGTCTTCTTGTTCTCTTGACATTTTCTAATGAAGTGAATAAAGGCAGTCTTGTGCCACCTCTAGAAGAGGCATAGAAAGTAGAGCCCCTAGATCAGGGCCGTTTACTCTCATGGACCAGGAAAAATATGTCCCTCTTTCCTCTAATATAGATGGAATTTTTATGAAGAAAATTATATAGTTTTAAGGGCTATGTGAATGCTCTGATGGGATCTGTGAATGGTTGACACAAAGGTTTCTGGCTTAAATTTGCTGGGCACTGGCTTTGAGAATATTTTGTAAGGCTACCGATGAGGGGAAGCTTGTATTGCCCACCTCCTTGGGGATGGCCTCCAAATGTGCTGTCTTATGGGTTAAGTCTTCACCACTCTATTGACTGGCAACCAGGAGGTACTTTCCACGAGCAGTTTGGCGACCTGAGACTCATGTTTAAGAAATGAATTCCTTGACCACCTTCCAAGAAGCAAAGAAAGTGAAAACCTCACCAAAAGACATGAGACTAAAGGAATTTATGAAAACAAACCCAAAGGTAGAAATTCTCAACCTGAATTAGACAAGGAAAGGCTCACTTTTAAAGGGCAGTCACAGCATAAATTGTTCTTCACGTTATTGATATTTTTAGAATGTAATTACACATGGAAAAAAAAAACCTGCATCTATTTAAGGGAAGTGAAAAGATACCAACAGAGAGTGTGTTTCTATCACTGCTTCTCTCCTCTCTTAGACTTACACTAATCCAAGAAAGACTGATAGATATAATCAGAGCACACATGTTTCTGTTGCTGGAAAAGACTGATAAATTACACCCCTCAATTAAAACAGGAAATCAGTTCTGACAAATGTAAGTTTATATCCATGCCATTTATCTTTCATTTCTAGGGGTGGGGAGCATAATTAGAGACTTGCGACTAGTGACATAAGTGTGTGGGTCTGAAAGCTCCAAAAAAGCAGACTTGAGCAACTGAAAAGGAAAAAAAATCTCAAGCCCCAGCTATCCCCATCACTAGTCCAACGCATGTTAAAATATAAATTATTTTTTAAAAATAAGGTTGTCTGCATGATTGACAGATATGTAGCAAGGGAAGCTTTTTGATCATTTCTCTAGTTCCCAGAGGAAAATGAGAACATTTTACAGAACTTTCTGAGCCTTGAAAGTACTAGAACACAAAGCAGCTAAAGCCTAGTACAGAGTGGGCATTGCAAGGAGAGGGTAGACCAAGGGATACAGCCTCTTTTCCCAAACAAATCTTTTGGGCATTGCTTTTGACTCTTCTGAATGAGTCTCCCTCTGTGAGCTTTTAGGGCAGTTTTTATTTATTTCGATTCATTTCCACTTACATCTACAAAGAACCTGCTCTGTGCCAATAACTGTGCTAAGTGCTGACGGAGAGAGATACAAGGAGAGAAATGGTTCTGATATTTTAACAGAGAGGAGTCCCTGTCGGCAAGAAACTTGCCAAGAGGAAGGCAGACAGTGTGTGCAGACATAATGGCAGAGAGGGCCAAATGCCATGAGACAGGCACAAGTTAGGGCTTGCACTGTCAGATTCAGGAGAGATTACTTGGCTGTAGTGTCCCAGCAGGTTTTATGAAAGCAAAATGCAAAGAGTGGGTTAAGTGGAAAACAAGGAGATTCCTAGCAGAGGGAATGTAGGGAATGGCCCATTAGCAAGGTTTCAAAAATAGTAGTCCAGAAGTTTGATACTCAATGTGCAGAAACTTGAGACCTTGCAAATGGGCCATCTCCTCTCTAACTACCTTGTGTACTCTAGCCTCTTGGTGTGAACTCTTCCACAGATGTCATTTTAGATCGCAACCTCAGCTCCTGGACACATGTATTTACACATGCAGTTTCTCCCTTAAGTGATCATCTTTATTATTTTTAAATTGACAAATAAGAAGTATACATCTCTTTGGGGTATAGTATGATGTCTCAATATCTTTATTCACTGTGTATTGATAAACTCAGGATCTTAGGTTATCTATTACTCAACTATCTGTCACTTCTTTGTGAAGAGAAATCAAAATACTCTTCTACCTATTTTCAATTATCACTCTTTTTGTAATGGAACACAAGATTTTGTTCCTCCTGTCTAGCTGTGACATTGTGCCCGTCCACCAATCTCTCCATGTCCACCATGTTCCCCCACCCCGTGGTAACCACTATTCTATCCTAATTTTATGATGTCAGCATTTTTAAATTCCAAAATGAGTTAAATCATGCAACATTTATCTTTCTATGCCCAGCTTCTTTTACTTAGCTGTATGACCTCCCAGTTTATCCATATTGCTACAAATGACAGGATTCTATCCTGTTATGAAAAGTATTCCATTATGTATATACATTTTTGATGAACTCTTCAGTTCATTCCATATTTTGGGTACCTATCAATCAGCTACTCCACTGTTATGGTTAATTTTTGAGGAACCTCCATACTGTTGTCTATAATAACACTAATTACATTCCCACCAACAGGATGAAAGTGTTTCGTTGCCTCCACTTTCTCACCAGCACTTGTTATCTTTTGTGTTTTTGCTAATAGTTATTCTTACTGGAATGAGATGATATCTCATTGTGGTTTTGACATATATTTCTCTGATTAGTGATGCTGAGCACTTTTTCATATACCTGTCAGTCATTCTTAAAGGCCAGACTCAATTATCACCTCCCCTGAGGAGATTTCTCTGACCTCAACCCCTCTGTATCCCCATGTTTTAATTTACATTTCTTTCTCTGTGTTTGATAGAATTCTGTAAACTGCTATAGATAGCACTGACCACAATCTGGCTAGCAATGAAGAAATACACACACACACACAAACACACACACACACAAACACACACACACACGAAATTTTACAGCAAAACCTTAAATAATTGTTACAATAAAATATTCTATATAAGTGAATAAACAAATGCACAAATATGTAGACTGCTTTATCCAGTCTACGCAAGAACCCTTTTTGTATTCCTAGTTAGTTCCAATATAACGAAGAATCCCTGACCCTTTTTGTGAATTGAGAATGCATCCCACTATCTGTGCTTTCTTATCAGGAATACTATGGTCATCTATTTATGTAACCATCATCCTTTTCTTGATTGTAGAAATGTGCTGGGATACAAATGACTAAGATTATCCCTCTCTGACCCTTGAAATGAAATGATGGAAGTATTTTCTCGTACTGCTGCTTTCAGTAGAAAATAATGTCAACTTGTAAAGTGCTTAACAGGGCTTGGCACATGATAAGCACTTAATGCATAGTAACTTTAAGAATCAAAGGCTTTTTCCACCCAATTTATTTTTATTATTATTATGGTCCACTCATTGAGCTGAGCCAAGAAATAGAAGACCTGGAATTTTGGGTCCTCCCAGAACTATAGGCCGAGAAACCAGGTAACCACCTCCTGTACCTTCACATTGCTTTCTCCCATCATAGAAATGACAACAGTGGGTAGGAAAGCCTCCTTACTCAGTGAGAATGCAATTCATATCTTTCCTAAGATGAAGGACCTTGAAATTAAACATAGTGACCAAGCTACATATTTTTATAGAGAAAAATGGCAGATACTTCACTTTGTGGGGGGAAGGCTGAATTTCCTCTTTATGCACCAGTTGAGTGGTTGTTTCTAGAGACTCACTGATGGATCAAAGTCCAGTCCTATCCTTGGGGACCACAATTTAATAGCCCCCAAAGATATGCAGATAATTGTTACTAGTATGGGTAAATTGGACTAAAGAAATGTCATCCTAGAGGAATAAGTCACTCTGTTTGAGGAAGCCTTGTGAGCAAAAATACTTCTTTCTTCAAAATATACAATTCCAATAGATTTGAGAAAAAGAAAATTTACAATTGATCCGAAAAACTTGTTTATTTCATTACCAGCAACCCAGATTCAAAGATAATCAGGTAGTCCAAAGCAATTTTTTGCCACTGAATATAAACTTCTTGCATAAAATATCAATTATAGCAACTCTGATTACTGCTCCAGTTATACCATGATCCTTTTAGTTTTTCTTTCATAGCAATCAATTGATCTGCTGCTTAATTCATATTTATTTAGATTGCAACCCATACAGATGCCTTTTGGGTGCTGCCAGGAAAATTAATATGTACATATAGAGTATAATGTATGTAAAAATGCTTTGACAACCATAGAGTGCTCTGCAAAGTATTAGATTACTATCATTATTTTCTTTTAAGTCTCAGTACAAATAGATAAATTTTAACATCATTAATCTTAAA